AGAACAACTTTATTTAATTAGCAATGCTTTCTATTGAAAGTCTGTAAACGAATGATTTGTTGAAAGGCAGACAATTTTTAACGGTCATACATTATGGAGAATGGGTGACTAGCTTATTAGCTAATGCTGGCCATCATCAGTAGCTCCTCAACTGGGTGATTCATAAGTGGCGTGGAAAGGCCCATCTCTTAATGAACAGTGTCAGGTATGTCCCTTTGCTTTACATTAATTTCCACATCATGCTTTTTACATTACAATCTCAACAACTGTTAAATTGTAAAAGTTTGTGTGCTTTTTAAATGTAGTATGACCCTCAGGCGCTGGGCAGGCAGTTGGCCATTCCATTTCAAAGATGGTTCATTGATGGTGTTGGTGTACACTTGTGCTATATCATCTTTTAGGGTCAATACACATCTCAGATTATTTTGTTAACTTATTTTTTAAGTTAAAAGCATCCATTATTTGTGGGTCATGTGAGTGTCGAGGTCACAATGTTAGCGTGCCAAGAGATTAACATCGTAAATCTTGACTTAAAGCTTTCGTGACTGCAGGAATTCATATTCTTTGGGTCTTTCGGTAAAGTCACCTTTTTTTCTGATGATGACTGCTTGTGTTGTGATCAAAACGTCGTAGTTTTATTTTCTTTGAATCTATCTACTTGACTTTACCGAAAGACCCATAGAATAAGATTAACATCTTGTTGGGTAATCTGTAGAAGGTAAAAAAAAACTACCACCGTGTTTTTACTCTTTGCTTGTAAGTTATGATATTTTAGAAAAGCAAGAGTGCCGTTAATGGCATTGAATCTGGATTTAACATGTCTTTACGAGGTTGAGATGAAGTGCTCTGAATGTTAACTATGTTTAACGTGTTGGCACACCCTTTTAAGAATACTTGGATTTTGGCTTCAGTGGGTTAGTCTAAAATGTTTGTATGCTAATGAACTACTGTTGAAATATACTGTGATACTTAATTTATCAGAATGTGGGTGATATAGTTTTCCAGGCAAATCTAACATTTGCGTTGCTTAAATAATTGGTAGAATAGCCTACATTTTAAAAACATTTCAATAGGACTGGAAAACATGTTTCTGCACATGGAAAGTAATGGATTTTCATCCTGTCATTTTAAATTTTTTATCAACTTTGATACCATTTCTATTTTTGGTTGATAAGTATTAGTGTTTTTTTCTTCAGGAAAATGTATTTGCCTGCAATGAAATTTTTGATCTGATTAGTATTTAGTTGTGTTCTCAAATTACTGCAAGAATTCTTGAATATTGCAGGGCCAGAAATGTTGATTGTAATTTGCATGCTTTGATTTTAAGTTTTTGCATACCATTGGGTCATGTGGTGATGTTTGTAAATGTTCTTTTAACAAATCTCAGTGATGGGTTCTTTTATTCTATGCATTTGATGAACTGCCACTGAATATTACCTATTGAAAAAACTAATACTTAAATTTTAAATGAGATGTAAATTTGTTAACTGCAATAATTCGGCATTAGAATGATTTGCAATTTTACGGTGGTCGCATATCAATGTAATGTTATTGGTTCAGTTGTGGAATGAGTTGTAATGTGTAAAGTATTAAAAGCAATCTTATTTATTCTTAATAAAGCTGTTTGCACTTTATACAGTCTCTGTGTATTTTTTTGTGCAAAACATCACATTCTCTGAAACTGCTTATTGTAGACACCTTAGGGCCATTGGCATCCTGACGAAAAATTGCGCTCCTAAACCTAAATGAATTCTGTAACCTGGCTGAGCTGTCGTGTGATGGCTGTTGACACGAAGCAGCAGTAGGTCTTGTTCTGCCCAGCAGCTAAAGGGTTAATGCTGTATTTAATATCATATCTTGTCTGTGTGTCTCTGCTCACGGTTTTTAACAACCAGTCTGCCTTTTTGCACACCCCGTAGGACACCCGTCTTGCTTGCAGTTCACTTCAAACATGATCGCCGCCGTCAAGACTTACCGTTGGCAGTGCATTGAATGCAAGTGCTGCAACATTTGCGGCACCTCTGAGAATGACGTACGTACGGGGACACCATCGTTCATACTAGAGGCAGACATTTCCACTTTTCCTGTAATTGGCTTGGCGGATTACGTAACATTGTCACAGTAATGACAAGTGTTCACCTTCATTGCAGGACCAGCTGCTGTTTTGCGATGACTGCGACCGTGGTTATCACATGTACTGTCTCAGCCCTGCCATGTCTGAGCCCCCAGAGGGTAAGAAACAGTTCAAATTCCACCATTAAATGACAGCTTCCGGGTCAATGTAATTTAATTGTATAATTGGAAAAGCATGCACTGAAACGGTCTTGCAAATACTTTTTTTCAGACTTTGTTACATTTGCTTAAAGCTTTGTAACTTAATTCTGCTCGTCTTATTTGCAGGAAGCTGGAGTTGCCGCCTTTGCCTGGACTTACTCAAAGAAAAGGCATCTGTCTATACCAACCAGTCATAAGATGGGGTCCTAGATGCCAACATCTTTGAATGATGACTCAGTTCTCAAGGGCATACCCAATTAGTAAACCCAAGTTTGAGCCACGGTTTGTCTCCTGTTGCAATTGGTATCTTTTGAGTGTAGCTGAGAACCAAGAATGTAATGTCTCTAATGTATTGTTACAGGTAGGTTTTTTTGACTTACGAAATTAACCCGTTGTCGATATATTTGCGCATCAGATGACATGACTGTTCTACATTTACTTTGTCACCTATATGGAGGGGTGTTCGTGCAGCTTGACAACTGATCCATAGAAATTCAGCATGGGCATTATGTCTCTGATTGCGCGCTCGGAGGAGGTAAACAATGCAATCATTTTCTAACATTGTAACCATAAATGCCTTAATAGTGGAGTTTTATATCACAGTGGCCAATAGAATCTGAGTAGACCTAATGTACACCAACCAGATCCTATGTAATTTGTGTGTATATGCGCCAAATTTTGAGAAGTTTGTAGATTTTATTTTTATGCTGTGTACCTGCTTGTGGAAAGGAGAGAGCAGTACTTTCCGCAGGCCTTTTTTTTGTAAGAGTTTTTTTTGCCTGTTTGGCCATCCTTAGCAGTCTGGTGTATCTTACTGGGCGTTGGGTTGGCTCCCCATGAGGGTGTGTTCACTGCCATTGCTTACCTAGGTACTACATGCTTTGGGTACCAACCATCCCCGTGTGCTGGTTGTTTACTCAGTGCTGTAATTGGTCACCTATTATGCCAAGGTCTGCAGTAAGTAGTTACTGTGTACTGCAGCTGATGTTTTTTTTTAATTACTGTAATGTTCAAGCTTGCTTAGGGATTTAGAAGAAACAATAAAAGGATGGTACAATAGAATGTATGGTCATAAAATGAATAAATCAATTGAACAGATATTTGTTTTGGTAGATGCCATAACGTGCATATAGTGCCTATGTAGGGTATTAGTTTTGTTACTTTTGAAAAATTATCATTTAAAAATTCACCTAGTGTAATAATGTGTGGTGTGATCTGGTCTGTATACTGTTAATAAGCAGGCAAGAAGATGACAAAGTGGCTGGCTTGTAAACTTTTTGTAAAAAGAGGTAGATTATGCAGTGTACACTGTAGTTATCTCACATAGTTAATATAGAACATTCAAGGTGTTGATGGTACTTCTCAATATATTAAGATGCTAGCGGGTGGGGGGGAGGGGAGTACCGGTATAATTCCTGGGGATCATTGTTACTATCAACTCATGCTGCTCGGCATATTAACGGTGTTTTACTTTAGAGCGCAGCAGTTGTCCATAAAAAGGTACTGTCGTAATATTGCAGTATTCCTAATTGCTGAATAGACTCCACATATATCGCCTCTTATGGGTGGAAATATATTCATAAATAAAAACCCCATTGTGCTTTTAGTAGCTTGTGTAATCAAACCAAACTTAAACTCCATTTGACATTTCTAGGTTTTTGTAATTAGTGAATAGCTTTCATTTAAGGGAGAAAATGGCACCCTAAATATAGTAGTTGCCTTTTTCCATAACTGTTTTCTGTTTTTGGCAAAAGTCATGATAATGTTCCCTGCACAAGAGAAAATAGCCCGTTTGTTATCCTTTGGTTTTAAAGTGTACCGTGTAGCCGGAATAAATGCTTGCTTGACCGTCTCTCACCATTAGGTCATCAGCCGTGTTTCCACAACGTGAGGAGGAGGCACTTCCAATAAAGATGGCCACTCCGTAGTGTTATTGACAGAGCATTTTATTGTATCATGTTGTCTGTGTTAAACTATTGCAGAACACCTAAATACCTGAGGTTACTAATGCTGTTGCCGCACATGCTGCTCCACAGGGGTCCAGAGTAAATTTCAGGAAGTGTCCTTTGTGTTGGAGAGATCGCGTACCGTAGGTTAGACTTAATGCATACGCTGGACGCTGCGCCAAGTGATCCGTGAATTTTGTATCACCGACTTCCACTTTCCGCCACCTGATTGAATGTCTTGGCGTATTATACGAGAGCTGCGAGCTTTATAGGATTAAAGTTGACTTTTTATGACTGAAGGTTGTTTATGTAGAGCACTGGCCCGAAAGTTGAATATACAGATACGTAATGTGTGCATCGACATAAGTATAGCTTGAGTAATACAGAGCCCTTGTGGAGACGTGTTTTAATTACAAGCAACATATTGGGTTTGTCAACAATGTCCAAGTAAATTGGCTTAGCTTACAAGTTGTGCTTGATGGAAAACAAACAGGGTATTCATTTAACGACAAATATAAATTGCTTAAAATAATAAACGAAACTTTGCCCTAGTTATAGTGGCACTTTTGTGGTTTAAGTTTGTCACAAGCTCATGATGAACAACATTTGTCAGTGCTCGCACAGCCCAGTAACATTGCTTTAAAGTAGATAACACCGTACCGTTGTTATACCCTATGTTCTGAAGCAGGTGGGGAGTAACCCATGTGCTATATTTGATATAAAACATTTCTGTACAGGATATAAAATATCAGAACACAAATGTGAGTGGCGGTAATGTCCAAGTGGGCGTGTGGACACATCAATTAGCAGCACATGAGAAGCATTGGCAAAAAAAGTTGATCTTGCTTCCAGGCGATGTCTCAGGATCCCTTCCCTCGAGACTCGTGAAGGCTCAATTCGATGAAGCCGCTCTGGCAGATGATGGTCTGTGTCTTCTGCCTCTTAAGGACAATTCCTGCACACAATAGAATGCAGTATGCGTATTACAAGGTAAACTGAATTGACGTGAAGAGCGAAACTATATGCTGTATATTTTACTTATATGGATGGCTTAGGGTTTTTGAAGCTGATGTAGACAAAAGCTGAAATGGAGAGCTGATGTGGATGGAAAAGCAGTCCATAGCTTTGGCAACAAGTACACATGCAAATGCACAATAATTTTTTTTAATTTTGCTTTGTAAAATGTTTTTTTACACTTCCAAAATAAAATGCATGTCTCAGAGCTGCACTTGTTTGCAATGCCGATTTTGGCGGGTTGCAGATCATGTCCAGCAGTGGATGTTGTGGACGTTTGGAAGAAATGGATAGATGCACAGAGCAGACGGAGTGGAGCTGACAGTGGAGTAATGATGCTGCTCTATTAAAGCAACACGCATACAAGGACCCTTATTACCTCTGCCCTCGGGTGAACACCTCAAAACAAGTTCATACTTTTCTGTGCACAGGGAAACAAACCGTATTCCGCCTTAACGCATTTCACCAAAATACAATTGTACAGGTGACTGATATCGGTCCCCCACAGTTGTGAAGAAAAAGTACAAGACGCGTGCAGTTACCCACCACATTCCGCGTGAACTTCTCAAACGATGTCCGTCTGTCTTGGTCATGGTCAGACTTGGAAAATTAGGACATTAAATATAAAACAAAATGCTGTTTTAGAGCAAAACTGGGGTGCTTGCATTTAACATTTCTGTTAATGTACAAACATTTCAGTAATTTTCAAATGTAAAATAGTAATTTTAATGCTGCGTTACCATCTTTCTGGCCGCCAGAAGTTCTTGATAGTTGTTGGACCGCAGAAATCTGGCGTAGCTGTCGTTTTTCATCAGCATGTAAATGTGCTCCTGTTGAAATGCAGACCAATGCAAACCAATTAAGACCGGTATGCGACACTTTACTTTACAACCTCAAGACACTTGACAAAGCTAAAACAAACATTTGATTGATGGAAACTACACGGACATGGAAATTAAAGTTTTAAGTAAAGCTAAGGCATCCTTCCAGTGGTGTACAAGCACTACAACTCCGTGGAAGCAGTCTGCATGTTTTTTTACCAGTCCGTCACCATATTAAACACGTGGGGAATTAGCAACTGGAGAGAAAAAAACGTATTATTGACGATGGTTTTACGCCAACTTGTGATCATGGCGAGTGAACTTTAAACTCGTAGCGCTGAAGCCACTCACGACTTGCCATGTCACTCGGATCTTTCGATTCAGGGGAAGAATTATGACTTTCCCTGGATTGTTAACCACGGAAAGGGAGTCAGATTTTTTAAATATTACATACTCGCACAACCGCATCCTTTACAAAGCTGTTTCAGTCACCAGCCAATCCGTTGATGGAGCGACCATACCCCCTGTCTGATCTCACAAGAGGGCAGACCTGCCGCACGTGACGGTGGAGGGAGGGAAGGGGGGAGCTGCGGCCGAGACCTGCGCATCCTGGAAGGCGAATCTGCCGGGTTCCCGCACGTTGTGTGCTGTGCGCTCGAAGCTGTGCGAGTCGAGGTTGATGGTGTTGGGTGCCCCAGGCTCCAGGAACTCTTGCCAGATCTCCCGGGCACGATCTGCCACCTTCCGCAACGGCAGGCGCTTAAGTTCCTGCACAGCCACCCAGAACCTGGGGCACGGCACACGGGAATGATCTGGTATTATCGCTATACGCGTGCCACTGCCCCAGTGGTCTGTAGAGGTGCACTGGGACTCGCGATATCGAACACCCAACGTCACCGTATTGCAGGAGTTGATTCGATGAGACCAGGAATCAACGTGTAATGGGAGTTCTTTATAAAATAAGTAGATCTGTTTTGGGGTTTGTTCAGATCATCTAAGGGTTAGTGTGGGATTAAATAATTGCGTTGGATGACTCTTTTGAGGAGATGGAGTTTCTGCTCTGGACGAGACGAGCGTTCTGCATTGGCCGAGAAAGTGTCGTTCCTGGATGAGATGAGAGTTCTGACTTGGATAGGACAAACTGGAATTTGATGAGGTGGGGGTTGTGTATTGAATGAGACGAGAAGTCCGTAATTAATCAAAGTAAGAGCGATGCTCTGCACGAGAGGAGGGCTAATTGTGATGGAGGTGGTGTCCGCTTGCGTAGCTCCCTCACTCACTGCAGGTTCTCGGAGCTGAACTCTGACTGCAGGAATCGCAGGAACTGCTCCTGCCCCACCGAGTCCTTGAGCACCTCGTCCATGCAGAACCCCCACCGCACCACCCGCTGGTGGCTCGGCTCTTTCCTGCACGGCGGAGTTGGGGGGGGGGGGGCGGTGGGGAGACAACGGCACGGCCAGGGGTGGGTGAGGTGGGGTGGGTGGTGGTGGGTGGTGGTGGTGTGTGGTGGGTGGTGGTGGTGGGTGGTGGTGGTGGTGGTGGGTGGTGGTGGGTGGTGGTGGGTGGTGGTGGGTGGTGGTGGTGGTGGGTGGTGGTATTGGTGGTGGGTGGTGGTGGTGGTGTTGGGTGGTAGTGGTGGGTGGTGGTGGTGGGTGGTTGGTGGATGATGGGTGGTGACGAGTGGCAGGTCGAGAGTCGTGGGGAGTGTGCTGCAAGGGGCCTGTCTCCAGGGCGACCTGGCCTCCAGCTCCCACAAGCTGGCGTCGTCGCATGCCCAGGGGTTGGAGGGGTCTGGCGGCGTCAGAAACGGGTCGTAGTCCGTGTACTGCTCCGAGTAGGCGATGAGGCTTGGGCATAAACGGGGGAGGGGAGGGAGGGGGGCAGTCAGTCAGTCAGTCGGGGAGCAAGCGCTTTGCTATGAGTTCTCCGCTCACTGCCAGTTGCTGCACGCCAGGTATGCAAGGACGTGCGTCACGGTGGCGAGATGTTAACTACCTCGCCTGGTCTACAGGAGGTCGGAGGTTCCATCCCCGACCCTGACGCCTGCTGTATATTTGCTGTTTGCGGGTTCTCTTCCCCGTGGTCGCGTGGATTTCTCTGCGTGTCCTTGCGGGTTACCCTTCCACATTAAGAAACATGTGTTTAGACTTTAAGATATTTGGCTGCTCTGAATGTCCACGTGATAAGCCACTTCGTTGAGCTGTAATTTGTGGCCAGGTCGTTTCTAGAAAAAATAGCTATATAGCTCAGCGGGCCTTACCTGGTCAAATAAACATAGTTTAATTTACGTATGTTGACATTCTTTTGCATTGTACGTTGCCAGCCGTGCTCATCGGAGGTGACAGGTGGTCTAGCCACCACCACCACCCCTATCCTACAGATATCCACACTGCGATTATGTTGATAATGCTAACCGTGCCAGTTGAATGGTGGCTGCGGCAATGGCGAGCGTGCAATGTTTCTCCATTTTTTGTTGCCACCAGATGGCAGACCTGTCACGGTTGCAGGCTCCTTCGAACAAGGACACGGCATATTCTTTGTGTCTTTCGGTAAATATTCATATTCTTAGGTTTTTTCGGTAAAGTCACGTAGGTAAAACATTAAAATGAATAAAAGTAAAATAAAATAAAAATCACGATGTTTCGGAGGCAACACAAGTCTCCGTCATTAGGTGGGACCGTCACAGCCAGATTTGCTGCATCAAGTGAGGCAATGATTCAAGATGTAATCCCTTAAATGTAAGTTGAGGGGGGAGGAGAGGGGGGGGGGCTCATCAGAATGTGGTAGCCAATGAATGGAACGTATCGGGAGGGGGGCGGGGCCAAAAGAATGCACGACGAGGTACAAGAGAGTCGGCGGCGTGGACGCGGTTGTGCGGAAGCAACTACTGCTGCACACGCCAACGTATTGGACAGAGAGGGGGAGGGGAGGCCAAAAGAGAGTTTGGGGTGCAAGTGTACGTGGACATGTGTATGTACAAGCACCTGTTGATACACATGATAGAAAAGAACGAAAATGCCCATGTTTATACCAGTGCTGGCTGAACAATAAAGAGAGTACTGTTAAACACGTAGATAGGTTGAAATAAAAAAAATACGACGTTTCGATCACAACACAAGCGATCGTCATCAAAACGTCGTAGTTAAAAAAAAAAGATTTCAACCTCTTTACGTGACTTTACCGAAAGACCCAAATAATATGAATTCCTGCAGTCACGAAAGCTTTTTAGTCAAGATTTAAGGACGCAGCAGTGCGGCTCGCTATTATTATTATTATTTTGCGTCTTCTGAGGCTGTAACGACAAACGTACCGAACAAACGACACTCCGCCATGGACACGTTCACTGCAAATCGGATCCGAGCGCGATTGTCATTTGAACATAAGTGGTTCGGGCCAACTGAGACGTTGATCTGGGATGACGGGCAAGTCGGAAATGGGTACATGTCACACAAGTCATAGGGACACGGTTTTGGAACGTCAATCAAATAAATCGCTCAGAAGTTGCGTTTTCGAAAAAAAGAAAAAAACTCGACTGCCCCGTTGGATGTTTGAAAATGGACAAGGACATCGGGCACACGCTGCGCGTAATTGACTGGGGAATTCCTAAGGCCTCCCGTGGTTTTTTGTTGTTGTTGTCTCAGTGCGGCTGCTCCACCCAGTCGGTGAATGTCACCACGATTCAGAATCAGTATTTATACTGGAAGGGAATCTGATGAGCTGTGAAGCTCTTTCATAGATGTCCAGTTGGGACGTCATGCGCTATTCAATTCGCGGTTTCTTAAAAAAAATCACACAAGAGAGAATTATGGGAAGTTGTTGCCCTTACTGAATCTCGCTTGTACAACAATACCGCTTTGTTAAGTATTCTGGCTTCATCGGTGAGCATTTCCGTTCGTTTTGACCATGCCGCACATTTAGGTGTCCATCACCTCTGCTTACAATGTACCTCTATCCCACATTGACCTCTCTCCCACACTGACCTCTCTCCCACACTGACCTCTCTCCCACATTGACCTCTCCCACACTGACCTCTCTCCCACATTGACCTCTCCCACACTGACCTCTCTCACACACTGACCTCTCTCCCACACTGACCTCTCTCCCACACTGACTTCTCTCCCACACTGACCTCTCTCCCACACTGACCTCTCTCACACACTGACCTCTCTCCCACACTGACCTCTCTCCCACACTGACCTCTCTCCCACACTGACCTCTCTCCCACACTGACCTCTCTCCCACACTGACCTCTCCCCACACTGACCTCTCACATACTGACCTCTCCTTTACCTCTCTCCCACACTTACCTGTCCGCCACTTTGGACGTTTTCATGCCGTGCCGCTCCATCTGCGCGTGCATGAACCGCACCTGAAACGGAGACGTCATCGTCACCATCACGATCATCATCACGATCATCATCACAATCACATTAATTAAAATCCCAGCCATGGCTAAGGGCAGTGGCTGGCGAGTGATACTGAACCAGTCCTGGCACCAACCTCTCCTCCCACCCCACCTCCTCACCAACCCACACTGACCATCGTGGTTAAGAGTGGTCAAACAACCCCCATGACTAACACTGACATGGGGAAGCCTTCGTCTAGCAGTGGATCGATAACGCGTGGGGCACAACGTGTTTGTAAACCCGACCTGCCGTTTGAGCTCCTCCATGCTTGGCCGTTTGACATCTGGAGGCGGCGAGGGTGGAGATCCGTCAGCCCGTCCCTCCTCCTTGAGTCCATAGACAGACTTTAGTTTTTTTGGGGGGGCGGTGGGGAGAGCAGGGGGGGGACGTTGGAGACGGGGTCAGTGTGGGGGGCGTGGGGACAGTGCCGCATTAAGCTAGTGCGGGGCCTGTAGCAAATGTGGTTATAAAGGGGCCCTAAATAAAAAAGCACATAAATATTAAAACGAAGTTTTTTACTGGCATAGTAAAGTAATTGTATTTTTTCATTTGCTATGCAACCAGACAATACGACAAATCGCTAACCTTAAACACCCAGTCGTTCATAAAAGTTGAAGGCAGTATAGTACTCTAGTAATAGAGCAAGTGCAGAATCACCGAACCGGAATTGATAGAGAATACGTTTTCACCTTTTTTCTGGCAAAAAAACAGTTGTGTTAAGATGTTAAAACACCAAACTGAAACCTTTTACAAGGAATCATGTCTGCATTAACCACAATACTTGTGGTCAAAATGCAAACAAAAACATACTCTGAAGTATATGCATTGTCTTTGATACTGATTGGTCCACATCAGAGACAGCTTTCTTTTGATCCTAGTCTCAAAAGACAGCTTTTTGACCACAAGTATTGTGGTTAATGCAGACATGATTCCTTGTAAAAGGTTTCAGTTTTGTGTTTTAACATCTTAACACAGCTGTTTTGTTGCCAGCAAAAAGGGAAAAACCTCTTCTCATATTTTGGTATTGGCAAAGGAGGTCCCATAACAGAATTGATAGTTTGAAAGCATTTAGCGCGGGGCCCTTGAAAGTGCGGAGCCCGTAGCATATGTAGCTCCTTGTGCTACTGGGAAAATCCGGCACTGCGTGGGGAGGGAGGATGGGGGCAGGACGGGCAGCATTGGGCACATCGGAGACATCGGCCTCTGTAGCGACCACTGTCGCGTCTCCACGCACAAGGCGGGGAAGGAGGTGGTAGAGGCGAGACAGCGGAGTAGCCTGGTTCGAGCACGGGGCCCGGCGAAAATGAATGAAACGGAGCACCGTTGTCCGATGCCATATTATTGTGGAGATGCATGGGGCCTGGGCCTCGGCGCAGTTGCACCGCCTGCGCACTCGACGGCTCCGCCAGGGTGAGGGGTCGCACCTTGTGAGCTCTGCCCGAGTTGATTTTGCGACTTGACTTCTTGATGTCCAACTCGAGGATGTTGACGCAGCCGGGCTGGCGGGGGACGGGAGCACATCGAGAGGAGTCACCACGGGCAAGACGTTCAAGACCTTCAAGACCTTCAAGACCGTCAATACCTTCAAGACCTTCAAGACCTTCCTTCAATGCCTGCAATGCCACCACACCTTGACGTCGCTTCCTTTCCTTATGCTCGATTCCTCAGCTATTGCACAGTTGCGACAACTCAGTGTTCAAGGTCTGCCCCTTGCAGTTTCACCGCCAGGATGCCTATGAGCTATCGCCTTGTTAACCCCCCCCCCCCCCCCCACGTTGGGCGCAAAATGATTCGTTGAAATGCGGTGTTTTTTCTGGAAGACTTTGCTGTTTTCCCCAGGATTTTTCTGTTGCGTGTAGTCACTTTAAGATGTTTCTTGTTCATGTTTTTGTTTTGTTGCGGTTGCACCCGAGTCAAGAGCCGCATGGCTCACAGGGTTATATACCTAATAAATGCAACTGGAAACTGAAACCGTCGACACCCGGGCCTTTAAAGAAGCGCTCCCACGTTCGCATCACCACCACCACAAACCAACCAACCACCACCACAAACCAACAACCACCACCACACCTCTGGCTTTTACGTCGTCTGCCCTTTGATCAACCGACCTCTGGTTTGTCACTGCGATGTCTGCCTCGGCAAGCTGCCCTCCTCCGTTCTGCCACGCGTCCAACTCTAGAGCGACTCGAGAGCGACTGTCTCCCAGAGCCGTGGCTCTTGCCCATGGGTCTGTCCACGTGCTCAGCGCGGTTGGCATGGGCCCCTCCTCCGGTGCCTGGACACCGGTGCAGAGTTGCACCGTAAACACTCAATCGCTACCCCACTAATTACTGTCGTCTTTTTTTTATTTACGTTAAAAGGTAAGGCCGACTGAGTTGCATCGCTCTGGTTCAGAAGAGATCTGGCTATCACAAATGATAGCTCCGCGAAGTGGCTTATCGCGTGGAAATGTATAGCGGCCAAATACGCTGAACGCGCGTTCATTCTAAATGTGGAGGGAAAGACCGGAGGAAAAAAAATAGACGCGATCGCGGGGAGACAGAGAGAACACGCGAACTCCAAATATACAGCAGCAGGCGCCAGGGTCAAAATCGATACCACGATCTCCTGTACACCAGGCGAGGTAGTTAACATCTCACTGCCCTCGTTCTCTGCTCAGGCCTGGCTCCAACTCCTCTCGGATGAGGGGGGTGGGGGCAGTAGAGTTGTTGTCTAGGGGGGTGGGGGCAGTAGAGTTTTTGTGTACGGGACGTGGCACCATAACGGCGAGTGAACTTGGGTTGTGCCAGAGGGACACGTGGTGGTTTGGACCCCCCCCATTCTCCAATCGCCGACGCCGCGTCTCGACTCGTGGCACGACGCATCGGGACGCCAACCTTTGACAGTGATGCTCCAATCAACGACCTCTCACGTCTCGCGTGCACTGCCCCGTCTCCATTTGCGGTGCCTCGTCTGGACTTGTCTCAAATGGATTGTTCGTCGTTGCGTGTTGTTCTGTCTCTACTGTCCGCCTTCTTTAGAACCGTAGCCGTATCGTCTGTACGCATTTTGCCCGAATCATCATATGAAACGTCTGTAAATGGTTTCAAATAACAGACAAAAGCTTCTACAAAAAATCACCCTGCCTCTCGTGCGTTCTGCAAAACCCGTCAACAGTTCCTGGAAGAAAGAACACTGCACTGTGGTCTTCTTGATCTTCGGTCACGACACAAATAAATGGTCACCGAAGACGAGACGAACACAACGCAGGAGCCACCGCTTTCTTTCGGGACCGTTTGATGGTGACCCAAGAACCCAAGTGGACCACAACGCCGTCGTCCGTGAACTGTTGATGGCTTTTAGTGCACGAGGCAGAGGGCTTTCTGTCCGTCGTTTTGTCACCGTTTCGCTCTTCGCGCTCGGGGTCCGGGGGGGGGGGGGGGGGGTCACAGTTCCGGTATTCACGGTCAAAATTAGCTCAATTTGGATACAACAAATTACTGAAGTCGGTTAAATACACCGGCTACCAACTACGAATACTTGGTGGGAACATCCTGAGAAAATAGTGGAGACTCGGTGGGGCTTTCCTGGGTAAACTAGCGCAATAAGGCAGTCCGGAGTCATAAAATAATTGTAAGGATCGTACGAATACGAAAGAGGGCAGCGTTGGGCGACCGTGATTAATATATATGTTGAACGAGAGTGGGTGACGGTGACAAAGACGGGTTTATCATGAGATTGGGATTCATTTCAGCCGAGTCTATCCGGGTCGATAACCGGACCAACAATATCCATGTGAGCCGTGGTCGAGAATCAACTCGTCGTACAATATTAACAGCTCACCGATGAGACTTTGCCCAGATCTTTCAAGGATTTGTGAGCTCCTCACACAATCCAGCCTGGTTAAACCCAGGACAGATCGTAGGCAGGCCAGCCTAAATGTTTCCAACCGGCGAAGATGCTCCACTAGGGGGGTCCACGTTTCACACCTACACACATCTACATACACACACACCTACACACACACCTACACACCCACACCTACATACACACATCTACATACACACACCTACACACACACACATCTACATACACACACACACCTACATACACACACACCTACATACACACACATCTACACACACACCTACATACACACACACACCTACATACACACACATCTACATACACACACACACCTACATACACACACACCTACATACACACACACATCTACACACACACCTACATACACACACACACCTACATACACACACAAACCTACATACACACACATCTACATACGCGCACGCTCCTACATACACACACACGTACATACACACACAACAACAACAATAACAACCGCCATTCGCCACTAAGTGGCGGTGACGTCACCACGATGCTTGTGCCAGGCCAAGTGCACCTTGAGGCCACGTGAAGTGTCGAAAGCCCGCTGGCAGGAGGTCACGGGGCAGACCCAGCAGGTGCCACGGGTCGACTGACCGAGATGACCGAGATGACTGGCTGATGCACCACCTGTGCCCCCTACTGTGCCAACTTGCTGTGCTTTAGCCACCCGGCGCTCCGCTCGTTGTTGTGAGCGTCGCTCCTCCGCCCTCCGTTGTTGTTGGAGGGCGACTGCCTCCAACTGCCCAGTAGCGTCCTTCACGAGCCTCCTCCACTGAGGCCGATCTTGACACCGCTGGTACCAGTCATCGGCAAGTCCACTCAGCTCCACGTCCTCCTGTACCACATCACTCCATCTCTTCTCCAGCCCGTGCCGCGCCCGTCTAGCCCCCTCGATCCGGCCGAACAAAAGCTGTTTAGGCATGCGGTGGCTGGGCATGCGGGCTACATGACCCAGCCAACGCAGCCTTGCCTGCCGGAGGAGCTCACTGATGGGACTTTGCCCAGATCTTTCAAGGATTTGTGAGCTCCTCACACAATCCAGCCTGGTTAAACCCAGGATGGATCGTAGGCAGGCCAGCCTAAATGTTTCCAACCGGCGAAGATGCTCCACCAGGGGGGTCCACGTCTCGCAAGCGTAGAGAAGGGAGGGAATGACCGTGGCCGAGAAGACCTGAAGCTTCGTGCGGAGCGACAGACCAGGTAGCTTCCACACAGCGTTACGCAACCGATGAAAAGATATTGCCGCTCGACTGATTCGGAGTGAGACCTCTGCTGATAGACTGGAGCCGGTCATAAGCACACTGCCCAGGTATGGGAAACTCTCCACTCTCTCCACAACTGCCCCATCACCAATTGGGAGTTGTGGGGGTGGAGTGTCCGATGGTACAAAATACCCAGGCAGGTGCTTGGTTTTGGTGGGGCTGATGGTAAAGCCCCACCTCTTAGTGGCACGCTCCAGTCTCAGCAGCAGCGCCTCCAACTCCTCTTCTGAATGAGCAGCTATTACCAAATCATCGGCATACATAACGTGGTTGACCAATAGGGAGCCATCCCTTGATCGCACCCGGGCGTCGATCAGCCTCCCATTATATCTGTACCAAACGGAAATTCCCCCGGTACAGCTATTGAAGGCTTCACGAACTACGCGGTCAAAATAGATGTTAAATAATGTAGGAGCCAGAGGACATCCCTGTCGCACCCCAAGGTGTACAGGGAAAGGCTCCGACTCCCGGCCACGTAGTTTTACCCGGGCCCGCTCACCATCATGAAGGTCCTTAATGATCGTGAGCAGAGGGTCAGGGACTCCGAAAGCACGAAGAACAACCCAGAGTCCAGTCCTACTGATGGTATCATAGGCCTTGACCAGGTCAATAAAGCAGAGATGTAGGTCTTTTTGGAATTCCCTACACCTCTGCTGTAGCAGACGGACAGAAAATATGGCATCTGTGCAGGACCGCCCTTTCCTGAAACCGCATTGGGGCTCCGCAAGCCCCTCCTCAGCGTGCCTAGCAAGGCGATGTTGAATAATCCTTGCCAGGACCTTACCCGGCACACTGAGGAGTGAGATGCCCCTGTAGTTGTTACAGTCTGTGCGGTCCCCCTTCTTAAAGAGGGGGACCACCAGGGCATCCTTCCAGTCCTGCGGAACCCGTCCAGTGGTCCAGACTGTTGTTATGATGTCATATAGGGCAGTCTGTGCACAAACGCCACCCTCCCTCAGCATTTCGCTTGGGAGATCATCTCTGCCCGGTGCCTTCCCTGGTCTCAGACTCCGGATCGCCCTCAGTACTTCCTCAACAGCTGGAACCTCAGCCAGCCACTCACAGGGGGTGACCTCTTCCAATATTTGAGGCACCGCAGCCTCAGCAGGGTTATCCCCACTTTGTGCCATGATGTTTTCCTGGCTGAGAGAATTTCCCTCCCCCAGGACCTCACAGAAATGCTCAGAAAATCTGCAAACCTGTTCCTGGGGGTCGGAGATTGGATCACCGTTTTTTCCTCTAATGATGGTAATATGTGTGGCGCTGCAGGTTACTTTTTTGATGGAGTTAAATAGTGATTTGTGATCACGGGCCACTGAGGCAGACTCCATCTCCTCAGCAACCCGCGACCACCACCCATCCTTACAACGCCTTACGGCTCTCCGAACTTCCGAGCGAAGGCTGCGGTAAACCTCCTCATTCTCTGACGTGGGATGCTGTAGGCGATGAGAGTGGGCCTGTCGCTTTTTCTCAATTAACCTGAACACCTCCTCTGTCAGCCAGGGTTTCTGGGGAGGTCTGGACCGCGTACCCAAAGCAGCCATTGCAGCTGCATGAGTCACAGTCTTAAACCTCGCCCATTTACCCTCGACATCAGGTGGAGTGGGGGACGATGCCAACCCCAGCCGCAAGCGATGATGAAATTCTCGCTTGCAACTTTCATCAGCTAACTGAGACCAGGCCACTTTTGGTTGGAATGGGATCCTGGGTGTACACCCACCACCGGAGTGGAAGAAAGGCAGGCGCATCTTACAGATGACTAGTCGATGGTCAGAGGACAGATCAGCTCCACGGTAGGTCCTGGTGTCAAGGACATGGGTTCGCATCCGCTGGTCCGTCACTATGTAGTCCAGCAGATGTTCTTGCTTGGACCCGGCATGCATCCATGATGTTGTGTGGATGCGCCGATGCCGGAAGAGCGTGTTGGTAATTACAAGCCCATGGGCTGCACAAAAATCTAGCAGCCTCCTACCGTTATTATTGAGCTGATCTGGCCCATGCCTTCCAATCACTCCAGACCAGGTGTCAGCATCATGACCAACTCGGGCATTGAAGTCACCCAACAAGATGACTCTGTCCCGAGTGGCCACTTTAGCCAGCACCTGTGACAGGAGGTCATAGAAAGCGTCTGACTCATCGGCTTTGCTTGCATCCCTCCACGGATGTTCGTCTTCGGTGGGGGCATAAGTAACCACGACCACCACTCCTCGCCTCTGGTTGATGGGAAGGCGAGCCCAAAGTATCCTGGGGCTTACAGCTTCCCACACCTCACCGCCACGCTCCCACGCCCCCTTCATTCTTTTGTTCAGAAGAAGAGCCACACCCTGTTGTTTGGCAGTCTCCTGCCCCGAGTAGAGGACTGTCCACCCCTCATGGTGGCAGGAGCCAGAACCGGTCCACCGGACCTCCTGAATGCCACAGAGATCCAGGCGGTACCGGTCCAGCTCCCGACAGAGGAGTGGCAGCCTCTCCTCCGCAGTGAGCGTTCGAACATTCCACGTGGCCATCCGCAATGGTTTTTTGTTGTTTCTGGAGGAGCCCCGAGGGTGAAAATTCAATCTCCTGGCTCCGCCAAATGGGGTTTGGCCAGGAGACGTCATAAAAGCCTGACCCCCCGGGGCCTCCGGCACAAGCTTATTTGTTACAGGTTTATGGTTAATTCGTGGTTTAGTGGTAATGAATTGAAGGTGGAGGGGTTACCAGCCCCTCACACCCGTCCAGAGCCCCCGTTTAGCCACTGTGGTGGTCACAGACGCCATGAGGGGAGAGGCCAATGGGCATTGGCCCTCCCCCCACAGCAATGTCCACGACAGTGTTGCCCGTCCGGCACCGCGAGGAGGTACATACACACACACACCTACATACACACACACACCTACATACACACCCACATCTACATACGCGCACGCGCGCGCACGCACACACACGGCGCCGTGCAAGGGCGCGTTTATCTCATCAGTATGCAAATGAGTGGCTGGAGGCACTCGCTCCCACGAGGGGGGCGGCAGGAGGGGGGGAGGGGGGGGGCGGTCTGGCTCCAGCCCGGACTCGCATACCACGTGATCCCGCACGCCGTGGGCTCAACGTCGTATTCCGCCAGCACCCCCCCCCCCCACTTATCCATCACCGGCAATGGTGATTAGTTTGTCGCCCGTCGGAATGGAAATTCTGACGAAGTGAATGGTAAATCTGACCGACCAATGCCTGTCACAGATTCACCCGGGATGCTCTCTCTTCCGAGATGGGGAAGCCACCGGTGCCATGCGCTTTTAAACCAGAATTTCGGTTGTCGACCTTTCCACGCACCTCAGATTCGCACGGTTGGCTACGTACAATGCGAACTAAGTTCAACATACCAGTTCCCCCAAAAAAAAATTGCCCCGAAGTTCCCCTTTCCAAAAAAAGGCAAGCTTGTGTTTTTAGAGGACGCCAGCTGATCCGCAGAGCGGTCAAAACATTTCATCGAGTGTTTGGTTGTGGCTGGTTGCGATTGCTCACGACGGAACACAATTGTCGGATGGCTGATTGACAACATTTCGAAATCATCGTCGTTGTCGTCGTCATCCTACTTGCACTATGGGTTTAGTGAAAGGTGTTTGTCCGTCGTTCTGCGATGGTTTTTACACGCTTTTATTTAACTCACTCTGCCTGTTGTTGTCGTATCCTCAAATCTTGTAACTCAATTTTATCCCACTTCTCAATGTGGTATCGACTGCAAACTTGGTATACTTATGTCATACTGATGACAATACTATATTCTATCATAAAAAAATATTTTTAAACATTCTTTTTGATATGTTATGTTTCGGCTTGGGTCTAATTGTCCACGCTCAACTGACGTTGGCTGTAATCATCACGGCCCCTTACGTTATGGCAAGCTTCGGGGCCACTTGCTGGAGTCGTGGAGTTATTCCATTACTAGTACGGTACATTTCATTAAAGCGTGTTTTTGAAAAGTTTTTTAAAATATCAATTATTTTTAGTCCACAACCAAAAGCTCAGAGCGGGGATGAAGTCACCCCGAGTATTCGTCCACGGTGGTGGCACAGGAACAGAGGCACCACCGCAGGAAGAATTATTCGAAATGTCTTCTTGGTTCTTTCGGTAAGTCACGTAGAAGGGAAATAATAAAATAATAAAATAAAACATTATAAAATAGAATTCTCACGACGTTTCGGCCACAATGCAAGCAGCCGTCCTCAGGTGAAGAACAGGTCTGTCGGGAAGACAGCGTCTGACCTGTTCTTCACCTGAGGACGGCTGCTTGCGTTGTGGCCGAAACGTCGTGAGAATTATTTTATTATGTTTTATTTCTATTATTTTATTATTTCCCTTCTACGTGACTTTACCGAAAGAACCAAGAAGATGAATTCCTGCAGTCACGAAAGCTTTAAATCGAGATTCTAAATGTTTCACGCGGAGGACCGATCCACGCGTCCGTGCTCCGTGCTTGACAAACGTTCGTCCGGTGCTATTCCGCCGAGAGGGAGACGACGTTGAGCCAAGTGAGGGCCTCTCACCACGGGTCTGTGCACATCCCAGAAGGCGCGCTCCTGGCTCTCCATCACCTTCCTCTCCAGCTTCTCCCTCTTGCGGTCGACCCTGGGCGCCGCGCGAGACATGCGACCACTCGGAATTCGTGGCATTCTCTTCTTAAACCTCGCCGTGATTAGAACAATAATAACAACATCTTTATTGGTTTATACTGGGCTTCGCAGTTCTCGTTCTGGGTGGGACTGGGATCTGGATGGGACTGGGTTCTGTGTGGGACTGGGTTCTGGGTGGGACTGGGATCTGTATGGGACTGGGTTCTGGGTGGGACTGGGTTCTGTATGGGACTGGGTTATGGATGGGACTGAGTTCTGGGTGGGACTGGGATCTGGGTGGGACTGGGTTCTGTATGGGACTGGGTTCTGGGTGGGACTGGGATCTGTATGGGACTGGGTTCTGGGTGGGATTGGGTTCTGTATGGGACTGGGTTCTGGGTGGGACTGGGTTCTGTATGGGACTGGGTTCTGTGTGGAACTGAGTTCTGTATGGGACTGGGATCTGGGTGGGACTGGGATCTGGGTGGGACTGGGTTCTGGGTGGGACTGGGTTCTGGGTGGGACTGAGTTCTGTATGAGACTGGGTTCTGTATGGGATTGGGTTCTGTATGGGAATGGGCTCTGTATGGGACTGAGTTCTGTATGGGACTGGGTTCTGTATGGGACTGGGTTCTGTATGGGATTGGGTTCTGTATGGGACTGGGTTCTGTATGGGACTGGGTTCTGTATGGGACTGGGTTCTATATGGGACTGGGTTCTATATGGGACTGGGCTCTGTATGGGACTGGGCTCTGGTGCGTGGACTCGCCTGGCCTGCGCCTCCGCCTGCATGAAGATGAACTCCCACTTGCGGTCGAACGCTCTCTGCAGTCGCGCGAGGCTCTCCTGCAGATGGGTTCACACCACCATCATCAACTGTCATCATCACCACAATATTGCACCAATTTATTCAGCGTCACCACCATAATCATCATCACTGTGATCACCATAGTATGCATGCGAAGGAATGCGCGTGCCCTGTGTTAGACTGGCCCTTCTCCGCAGCACAGGCGCTACAAATAAGGACTATCGCCTGAAACGTCGCCTCTTATTCACTTTTCTTTTTAAGGCGGCGCTGTTGAAGAATGCGTTCATTGTAATATTTTTCGCACCACTCGCCAACGCAGTCTCACCAAATGAGTTGCCGTGTGCGTGCAGGTGTGTGCACGCTCACGGCCACCAACACAGGTGACACTTATCTCAACCGGCTCTGAGCCCTCCCTAGGTCGACTCGGCCTCAAGTGAGCACCTGCTGCGGTGTGTAAACATCGCCACTGGGGAGACAAAAGCGGCCGAGAGTGGTGCTGGCCACCCACCCCCTCGTGTGCCGTGCCGGCCTTCATAGGTGCTACTCGCTAGCAGCACTTGCCACAAACGTATTTATGTCTATGCGGGGGATCTTTATCTTTGTACGTACGCGTGCATTTTGAGATCATTACAGCGGTGTAGCATTTACGCTGGGAATACCAACGTAACGAGCCGCATGCAGATGAGATGAGTGTGTGTGGCCATCTGCCAGTCAATCTACAACCGTAATTATCCAGATGCAGTCGGCTTGGCCAGGCGATGGCTGCCGCTCACTAACTCAACGGGGATGATACTCTTAGGTTTTTTCGGTAAAGTCACATAGGTAAAAATAAGATAAAAAAATAAAAATAATAGAAATAATAATAGAAATAAAATGAATAATAATAGAAATAAAATGATTATTTTATTTCTATTATTATTTCTATTTTTTTTATTTTTTTTCAATTATTATTTTTTTTTTACCTTACGTGACTTTACCGAAAAAAATCTAAGAGTATATGAATCCTTGCAGTCACGAAAGCTTCAAATCTAGACTCAATAGGGATGACTTGGCCAGTCTGTTCAAGGTTGTGCGGCGGCTCTGTGTGTGTTCTCGATTCAAAAGGCATTTCTTTAGAGCTGCTTTTTTGTGTTTTTAAGGGGCCGTCCATAAATGACGTCACGCGATTTTGGACGATTTTGGACCCCCTCCCCACTCGTCACACGGCGTTATAAAAAGTAAGACTCCCCCTCAAATATGACGTCACAAAGCTCTGCCCCACCCCCCCAAAATAAACTATTGTCATTGTAGTGCGTATTTAATGTGGCGCTGCACTCTGATGTTGTAGGAGAAAACATTTATTAAAAGTCTATTTTATTAAGTAGAACGTGTTGTCTATATTTATTAAAGTTGCGCATTTTGATGTGACGTCACATTTCTCAACCCTCCCTCCCTCGTCACACCTCGTCACAAATGTCTGACCCCCCCCCCCCCACCAGGTGCGTGACGTCATTTCTGGACGGCCCCTTATTCCGTTGTCCTTCCCCCGCACCTCCGATTAGCACGGTTGGCTACGTACGGCGCGAAAGAAGTTCAACGTACATACATACCTGGTGTCCGTGTGGTTTAGGTGTCTGTGCGTACGGGTTTGATCCCTGGCCGCGGCTAACATCCGTAGCAGCGGAATCTCACCCTGGCGTGGGCCTCCCCTAGGTGGACCCAGCCTTAAGTGAACACCAGGAGCGGTGCGGTGACGTGCATCATCACTGGAGAGACAAAGACGGCCGTGCGCGTGCGACTCACGGCCTCGTAATCCGCGAGTTCCAACCTCGCCTTGTTCTGCATGGTCCTCTTGCACAGATACACGGCTACGTCGCGACACGGACACAGACGGAGACACGCAGAGGCACAGAGACGTAGCGACAGGCAGACACGGACACACACGGCATCGACACAGAGACGCATTGGCACAGAGACGCAGACAGAGGCACGTGTTGCGTTAATGTGCTCTCAAAGAGCACTTATCCCGGAATGTGTTGTGTGTGTGTGCGTTATGTACATATATATGTGTGCAGGTGTGTGCGTGTGTTTTTATTAATATACTTGCAGTAAATCTGAAACTTGTAAGCGAAAAGCAGACCGCGACGTGATATTCATTGCATCAATGCGTGTGCCATTTGTAAGGGCGCGGTGACACAGACCTATTTCGTTTAAAGGTTATAATCCCTTGTTCATCACGACGTCCTTTTTACTTTGATGTCTCAACAGCGTGACGGAGATTACGTGATGCCGTGAGGGTTCTGCCTTTGTAGTGAAGGTTGTCAGTTGATACTGAGGAGGGGGGAGGAGGCGCCTCGGCCCCCCATGTGGAGTGACGTCACCCGCTAATTATTATGAATTCGGGGGTGTCCATTTGGAGGACGTCACCTTATAATGATTATTAATGAGGGAGGCTGTTCGATGTGGAGTGATGTCACTTGCAAATGATTATTAGTGACGGGGGGGGGGGGGAGTATTCCATATTGGGTGACGTCACCCGCTCATGATTATTAATGAAGAGGGGTCGGGGGGGTGTGTCCATTTGGAGGACGTCACCTGCTCATGATTATTAATGAGGGGGGCTGGTCGACGTGGAGTGACGTCACGAGCGTTGCACACAGACATTCTTGGCTAATTATAGTAGGTTATAATAATGGGGGGGGTGGGGGTGTGTCCATTTGGAGGATGTCACCTGCTCATGATTATTAATGAGGGGGGCTGGTTGATGTGGAGTGACGTCACGAGCGTTATGAATGATCATGATGCATTTCTCTGAATCGCGTTCATTCGGGAAGCTGCTCTGTGCCTCCAACTCGCTCCGAAGCTCCTCACCGTAATCCGTGTTCTCGGGATCCCAGCAGTTGGAAGGCCAGAAATATGGATTCTGCAAGAACGAGTCAGCCACGATTACCACCACCACCACCACATGTCATATCACACATGTGATCTTCACCACCACCACATGTCATATAACACGTGTGATCTTCCCCACCACCACCACCAACATCATCATCATCATCCGTCATGAACAATACACTTCTGGATGAAGGCTCCGTGATGCCAAACATCATCTCGCTGTTCTTGGTTCTTTCGATAAAGTCACGTAGAAGGGAAATAATAAATCATAAAAATATAAAACAATAAAAAATATATTTCGTTCTACGTGACTTTACCGAAAGAACCAAGAATATGAATCCCTGCAGTCACGTCTGAACTGGATGAGCCGATCTCGTCGTCGCAACCACCGTTGGTGCTGGTCATCCTCTCGGGCCGTGTCCCCCCCCCTCCTTGTGGCTGTCATTCCGTCAGCGGTCTCACCCATCACTTCTCGTGACGTGTCCTTCTCGAGCCCAATTGTTTACTTTCCATGTCAGTCAGGCTGCATCACGCCCGACCTCTATTTGTCTCTCGGTGTAATTCCCAGCATGCACCCCCACCTCTCCACGTTTCTTTGACCTCATGAAATATTCACAGTTCCTTGCCACGATGTCGAGGCGTTAACGAGCTCGCCTGCTATGCAGGAGTGCGTGGGTTCGATCCCGACCCTGACTTCTATATTTTTGAAGTTTGCGTGTCTTTTTCCCCCTGGCCACGTGGATTTTTTTCCGGGTTCTGCGGGTTTTCGCTCATCATCTATCCACTGCTGTTATACAGTTCCACATTAGTCACTTCGTTGAGCTATCATTTGTGGCCAGGTCGCTTCTAGAAAAGAGCTGCATAGCTCAATGTGTCTTACCTGCTCAAATAAAACATCGCTTACTTTAGTTTGTTACAGTTGGAATGGTGTGGCTAAGTGCCTTGGTTTTGCCGTTAGAGCGTTATCGTGTATTATGGCATTTCTTTATTGAATAAAAAAGCGTAAAAGTGTGTTAAGGGATTTACAACGAAATCAGTTGGACCAGACATTTTCGCAAGTGCTTTCTATCCCATAGCGTGGCTAAGTGCCCCCGTTGCAAAATGTCAAACGAATATCAAACGTCCAACCGACCACCCTTCGGTGTTTCTTTGCGCCCTTTCATAACATTTGATATTTCTTCTCACTTTCTTGCTCGTCCGACACGGGATAGACCGCTGGCCCACGATGATGGCGAGGCCTTCATCAAACCGTGGAGACACCATGGTCGATGACGATCGTGGGGCGACTTCGATGCGGCAGTGGATATGTCCACGGCTCACGACGACGACGATGATTCGTTTGGCGAGGGGCGGTCACTGCGCGCGGCGCCTTCAAACCCCGGTCTTGACCCAGTTCGACTCCCAGCACCGGTCGCTAGGTGAGCCACCTCGCGTTTGAAACTCGCTCGTGAACACGAACTCAGTAGCCCCAGCGAGACTGGGGGGCGAAATGCGTGACGCTAAATGGTGATTTCCCCGGCTAATGTGATGCGTTCACTGCCGTCTCACCCGAGGCGCTGTTTAGACATTCTAACATTTCCCATTTATGACCGCGGCTGCCTCTCTCCTCCATGAACACGGAGGGAAGGAGCTGGTGTGCGCATGTGTACGCGTGTGTGTTAGGTCTACTCGGCCTGAAATGAGTACCTGGTGCGGTGTGTAAACATCGCCAGTGGGGAGACAAAGGTGGTCGGGCGTGGTGCTGGCCACCCACCCGTACGTGCACCGTGCCGGCCTTCATAGGTGCTCGCTCACATCACTTGCCTCAAAAAGTCTGTTGAGGCTAAACAGGGGGATCTTTAATCGAGATTTGAAGTTTTCGTGACTGCAGGGATCCATACTCTTTGGTTCTTTCGGTAAAGTCACGTGGGACAACCACCTGATGATGGACGCTTGTGTCGCACCCGAAACGTCGTGATTTAATTTTATTTATTTTATACCTACGTGAATTTATTCGAAAGAACCAAAGAGTAGTTGGATCTTTGTCCTGTGCCAGCCAGGCCGCACTGTGTAAAAGGGGCTCGCAGGTCCTGGCCAAGATCCGTGCATTTCCCCACGAATGAGCTCGTCCGCAAATCGAGGCTGCGTTGGCTGGGTCGCGTAGCCCGCATGCCCAGCCACCGCATGCCCAGCCACCGCATGCCCAGCCACCGCATGCCCAGCCACCGCATGCCCAGCCACCGCATGCCCAGCCACCGCATGCCCAGCCACCGCATGCCCACCACCGCATGCCCAGCCACCGCATGCCCAGCCACCGCATGCCCAGCCACCGCATGCCCAGCCACCGCATGCCCAAGCAGCTTCTGGTAGGCCGGATAGATGGGGCTTAATGGACTCGAGAAGAGATGGACTGATGCGCTTAGGGAGGATTTGGAGCTGAGTGGACCTGCCAACAATTTGGCGCCGGCGGTGTCAAGATCGATTCCCGTTCGTGGCAAACATCGGTGGCGCGTGGCATCTGAACCGCTACTGGGCCTCTCCCAGGTCGACTCAGCCGTAAATGAGTACCTAGTGCAGTGTCTAACATCAATCATCAGCGCCTGGCGCGGCAAAGGCGGTGTTATGCTGGCCGCGATGGATGTTCGCCAGCAAGCAGCATGTGCCCCAACAGTCCGTAAGCTACAAGAGGGTGTGGGCCGGGGGAGGGCCTTTGTATTTGCGTAATAGGTGCTCGCTAACTGCAACTGCTCTCACAGTGTACGTACAGCGACACAAGGATGGATGCACGTGTGCGTGGCCTGGCGTGAAGTTAGTCGCCCCCTTGTCAATCATTCGCGGTCGCAGATGTCTGCGCTTCTTGGTTATTACACCACCCACAACCCCCCCCACACCCCCCCCCCCAGCACCTCCCCCCTCCCCAGTAATGTCTACCCCGGGTTGAGAGGGGGCACCTGGAACCGGTACAAGGCGCCGTCGTCTTTGAGCACCAGCACGTGGTCTGAGATGGGGAAGAAGTAGCCGTGGGCTGCCATCTGCGTGCCCAGGTGCAGCGCCTCCGCTGGGAGATCGAAGGGGAAGGGGGTTGTGTGGGAATAGCGCGGGGGGGGTGAGTGGGGGGGGTCTCTCACACTCACAATCAGGGCGGTAGCATCAGCCACACGTGTGTCGCGTGGGTGGGTGGTGTGCTGGACATCGCACCCACTCGGGTTCGCCTTCATGAGTGCACTTTCTGCAACACTCCATTAAAGGCTATGGGGGAGGGAGGGCTGGTTTGGAGGGAGGGGTAATCGAGTTGATGGGTGAATGATCGGGTGGGTGAGCGAGCGGGTGAGTGGGTGAATGATCGGGTGGGTGAGCGAGCGGGTGAGCGGGTGAATGATCGGGTGGGTGAGCGAGTGGGTGAGTGGATGAGTGGGTGAATGATCGGGTGGGTGAGCGAGCGGGTGAGTGGATAAGTGGGTGAATGATCGGGTGGATGAGCGAATGAGCGAGTCGGTGCTAAGAGTGAATGTGTGCGTGAGAGTGGGTTTGTTATTCAGCCGGCGAGAGTGTGAGAAGTGAATGATTGTGCATAGTGCAATGGTTAGCGCTGCGCTACAAACTCGGCGAATCGAGTTCGATTCCAGCTCACGGCCAACACCGGTGACGATTATCTGAATCTGCCCTGGGGCTCCCCTAGGTCGACTCGGTCTCAAATGAGTACCTGGTGCGGTGTGTAAACATCGACACTGGAGGGACAAAGGCGGTCGGCCGTGGGCCTGCATAGGCACTCGCTAACAACACTTGCCCCAACCGCCTGTTGAGGCTATACGGGGATCTTTGCGTGCGGCAGTGCTCCGTCTACCTTGGTCCTGGGTGTTGAGGTTCTTCATGAGCCACTGCACAATGTCGGCTCCTGCACGCGGACGGGAAACGAACTTCCATCAGCCTTGACCCCAGGTGACCTCCGACCTCAAGGAGCACGTTCAAATCTCCGTCGTGGATTCGTCAACGTGGAACAAGCACAGCAGTGACAGCCCGCAAAGTGGTTGTTCTGTGGCTGCAGGGTTCCAAGCCTTACCTGGAATGTGATCGTTTTTATCAGCAGGACGCTCTGCTGAGTGAGTTTACACTGAGCGGACCTTTGTCACTCTACCGCTGGATGGGGGGGGGGGGGGGCTCCCCACGTCGTGTTGGACGTGGGGGGTTGTTTGACCATACTTCACCACGCTGGTCATCGTCGATGTAGCTTCTAAATCTACTTTGATGCCGCTGCTGCTGCTGCATTGGCCTGTGTGCATTGTGTCGAGTATGAAAACAAAAATCTTGATCACAAAAAACAACTAATGATGCGTGACGGTGGAGAAATATCGGTAATTCAACATACCCTAATATATTTTTTAAAAAGTTTTGCTGGCTGGAGAGAGGGAAGTACGGACAGTCACGTCCAAAGGCCTCGCTCGGTCACGTTGAAATTTATCTTCTTTTTTGAGAGATTATAACAGGAGATAATAACAAGAGATTATGATAGGAGATTATAATCTCTCAAGAAAATAAACCATGCTAATCTTCAAATTTTGACTTTAAACTTTCCTGACTGCAGGCATTCACATTCTTGGTTCTTTCGGTAATGTCACGTAGATAAAAATAAAAATAAATAAAACAAATTACATAAAAAAGTTGCTTTTATTATTTAACATTTTTATTATTTTTATTATATGTATTTTTTTTTCTACGTGACTTTACCGAAAGAACCAAGAATACATAATAATCTTAGTTTTTAAGAGATTATAACCTCTCAAAAAAGAAGATAAACTTCAACATCCCTCGACCTACGACTGTGGGTGCTCTCTCCTCTCACACCGCACTCCACCCCGACCCCACACTCCCGCGGACTGCAGCGTCGTGTCCCTTACCCGTGACCACGCTGGGGATCTTGGTGAGGAAGCTCTTGACGGTGCGGATCGCGACGCCGCCCTCCTCAGCCTGCATCCGACGCACGATCTGCTCCATCTGCACGCCGGTTCAAAAAACAACAAAAAAACAACAACAAACAACAACAACAACAACGGCCATCGGCACACGCGGTGGCTATGAGATGTTAACTACCTCGCTTGGTATGCAGGAGGTCGCGGGTTCGATTCCGACCCCGACGCCTGCTGTGTATTTTGAGTTAACGATCTCTCTCTCTCTGCCCGTGGTCGCATGGAATTTTTTCTCCCTCCACGTTTAGAAATACGTTTAGAAACATCCACACGACGACGAGCCACTTCGTTTGTGGCCAGGTCGCTTCTGATAAAGAGCTAATTAGCTCAGTGGGCCTTACCCAGTGAAATAAAAAAAACATAGTTTAGTTTAGTAGATAGCAGCAGTCTCAAATCCTCATTATCCACCGTGTCTCTCTACTAGGATTCTCATCTTATGTGCACTGAAGAAGGGCCATTGTTCGAAACGTCGCCTGTTATCTATGTTTCCTATTAAGGTACTTGTGGGCCATAGGCCAGAGTGGAAACTGCTACCACCTAAAGTAGCAAAGCTCTCGTGGTGCCAATCTATTTACACGGCTAATAGAGGATTATTTCATATGGTTATCATATAATTCACTATCACTGGCCACGTAAAGAGACATGTAAACCTGCGTGAGTCATGCCATCCCAGGTGGAACCGATGAGTGGAATTTATGGTCTTTTTGTTGCATTTTATTACAGGGAAGAGTCGCATCCATGTATCTTCGCAAGTAAGACGGGCAGCGCATTTAACACACTACGGTATCTGTAAAGACAAAGCACTGCTAACTTGATCGTCTTGCGTACGAACACTCATCGGTGGAGTTGGACAAACATCCAAATATAGGACCACGCAGCTCGGACAATTGTGGATAGTTAGCAGTGTGTGAGAGAGAGAGAGCGAGAGAGTGAGCAAGAGAGTGAGCGAGAGGTGGGGGTTTACATAAAGCAAAGTTATTATTTAAAAAAAAAATTACGAAATGATGAACGAAGCAAAGTGCCGACTACACCGAGCCTTTTCTTGTTTCCACTGATCGTAAAAAAAAGAGAGAGCGAGAGAGCAGTCGACGTCTATCTCTGTTACGGGGGCGGGTTGGGAGTATAATCAACGCATCTTCTCAAACAAAGCCAGCGCAGTCAATTGATCTCTTTAAAGACACGGTAAAGCCAGGGTGTGTTACAACACACTTGCGACAGAGATTGCACCAGCAACAAACCTTACTAATTGGCTGTGCCGGCTGGTGGCGGGTTTAATGACACATTCATATTTACGCGATTTAACCGAACCCCCCCCCCCTCCTGCTCTATTATGGATAATGTTTGTTCGTGAGAGCCTCCTACGTGTTAAACTCACCACCAACGTATCTCATTAATCACAGCCCACGTCAACTCGTCTGATTAATGATCAGAGAGGGAGAGGCTGTGAAGTGAAGTCATTCCCCTTAGGAGGCGCGCAGGAGATGTGTTTGTCCTGCGTGTCCGTGACTGCCATTCGCGTGCGGAGATCACGAACTGCGGGCGATGTGGTCACAATGAAAGCGGACCGCCACGGAATCACCGATCTTGCTGATATTAGCCAATCCAATGAAGGGGGCGGGGGAAGGGGCGTGTCACATTATTACTCGATTCATGGATCGATTGGTAACGAATTGACGCAGCAATTAACCCGTAAATTGTGATTAAGGGGTTATCCATTTAGGACATACGCATGGAGGGGGTAGGAGGGGTTAACCCAAACGCGTACGCTTGCGTATGGGGGGTCTATGACAATGTCCGTACGCATAGGAAACGGGGGGGGGGGGGTGAAACCTCGATAATGAATTGTCGACATTGGCCTTGAAATGAGCCACAGTTCAGTGTCTTCAGCTGTCAGACAACAAGTCCTGCCGGGAGAAGTGGGACTGTGGGAGAGGTGTCACTTCGTGTGTGCCACGTGCCCCTGACTGCAGCTATCACGCAGCTCGGCAACATCAGTGGCCAAGGGACGCAACTGAATTGTTTAATGCAGCCGGCGGTGGACTATCTGTTTGCTTAAACACGCTAATATGATTAATCCTTGATCGTTTCTGGTGTGGATTAAATAGATTCGGGGGGGGAGGTGGTGCGTCAGGCGTACGTACGCAGGTGGGGGGGGGGGGGGTAAAAGTCCGCGTGCGTACAGAGAGGGGGGGAGGGGTCAAGTTTTGACAGATTTTTGCGTTACCTACTCAATGGATGGCCCCAAACTCCGGTGTTTTTTGACGCGTTTGTTACGAATCGACTGAGCGGAATCGATGCCATTAATCTCGATTCACGATCCACAATTACCATATATGGTGATGGGGGTGGGGTGGGAAAATCTCCGATCTGTGATTTTGTCGGCTGTAGGATGGTATCGCTCTATTCCAGAGCCTCCGTGGCAAGGCATTTGAGACGCCGCAGCGCCGCCACGTGTGGAGGAGTCGTGGAGGCGATTGCAACGGGGCTCACGAGGCGCGAGCGGTCGGTCAACTCAGAGGGGTGGATCTCCGGCTCAGGGGGCGTCCACTGCTTTCTGCCAAAGCTTGACAATGAAAAAAACTCTCAGCCAAAAGCTCCCTTCATATGCGCATCTCCAGTGTCTTGCTCCTCCCACTCCCAGCACCCCTCCTCTATCTCTCCTCCCTGGCTCCTCCCCCGTCTCTTATCTATACAGTAAAACCTTGGATTACGAGCATAATTCGTTCCGGAAACGTGCTTGTAATCCAAAGCACTCGTATATCAAAGCACTCGTATATCAGTTGTGATCACGTGATGCTCGGCAGACAAAGCGTATACACGTACTGCTCGTATTGCAAGACCTCGCTCGTTTATCAAGTTAATATTTATTTTAAAATGTTGCTCGTTTTGCAAAACACTCGCAGACCAAGTTACTCGCAATCCAAGGTTTTACTGTATAGCCCCTTGTTACAGCAGCTCTTTTGCCCACTTCAGCATTTGTTTCTTGCTGTGGTTGTCCCACCTGATGACGGACGCTTGTGTTGCGCCCGAAACGTCGTGATTTATTATATTATTTCTATTATTATTATTTCTATTATTTATTTATTTTGATTATTATTTCCTTTTTACCTACGTGACTTTACCGAAAAAAACCTAAGAGTATGAATCCTTGCAGTCACGAAAGCTTCAAATCTAGAATGAAAAAAAAATTCCTCGGATCAGGACGCCGCCGCCGATCGAACAAATAGAGTTGAATTGTTGTCATGGCTATTTCCCCCCCCCCCCAGCCTACCACCTGCTCAGGCTGCACGCGGCGCTGCGATGTGACTTCTCCTCTAAGGGATTCGCGTTCTGCACCTCTGTGGAGAGAGCGAGGAAGCACCTCCACTCCTCCACCTTCTCCGTCTCTCACTCTCTCTCTGTCTCTCCTCCTCCCCGTGCCCAATCTCGATTGCCATCCGTCCGTCCGTCCGTGTGCACGTTGAACTTCTTTCGCGCCCTACGTAGCCAACGGTGCTCATTGGAGGCGTGGGGGAAGGGCAACAGACGAAACACCGAGCAGCAGGACTGAAGCGACGAGTTTTCAATCGTAGATTTGAAAGTTCGGAGCTCCGGTGGCCTCCTCATATCGGAAGGGAGAGCGTTCCAGACGGCCGCAGAAGCGCATCTGAAAGCGCCGCGTGGTGACCGCTGTCCTGCACCCCTCCACTGGAATCAACTTCCCTCGTTCATTCAGCAGTCCCCGTCACCCCCCTGTGGTTCCTCTCCTGAAGTTTACCTTTTCTGTGTTTTGATTTAGTGTGCTGATCTTAAAGGTGCATTGAAAAATTATAATACTCCGATTGATGCTCCTGCTGTTGTGGAGTGACTCATGCAGCCAGCTATGGCTGCAGGGTTTTGGTGGTACATGTTGTTAATATCATTTATTGTGAAAATTCCGTCACAGTTCCTATGATCACTGTTTCATTGCTTTCATGGCTTTATTTTGGTGATTTAGAAAAGTGTATTGATTTAGTCATGTTTTTTTTGTTATAGCACGGAGTAAGACTGATGGCCTTAATCTAAGTGTTGGTGTACGGTGTTTTTTCTGCAATATTTTGCTGTCTTTTCTTGGATTTTCTGTTTGCACTTAGTCACATAGTCACTTTAAGATGTTTTCTTGTTCATGTTTTTTGTTTGTTGCGGTTACACATGATTCAAGAGCCGAATGGCTCACAGGGCTATACCTAATAAATTAACTTGAAATGAACTTGAACTTCTCTCTCTCGCACATTCTAATCCTCGCCCCTCCACTCCGTCCCGTCCCTCCCCTAACCCCTCGTGCTCACTCGTTCCTCAACCCTTTGCACGCCGCTGCCGTCGAAATCGTTCCGTTCTGCTGTCACCGTGTTTTTGTTGACACGACGTTAATCGCCTCGAGCGAAGGCGCTCTGTATACAAACACTGTACAAGAGAAAACTCGCGAATCCCGCGCGCGTGTGCCCGTGCGTGGATCGATGCGCCGAGACGCTCCGAGCGAGACGCGGGCGCAAGCACTACAGAGAGAAATGAAAAGGTGCCACCACCCCCGATTTAGATCGATCTGTGATGTGGAAGCCTCTGAACCCGAGAAGCTTCAGAAGTCCACTCCGCCCACGAATGCGCAGCAGCAACAGCAGCGCCCGCCCCCACCACACCGCAGCCACCACTGCCGTCGTTGTTTTGCTTGAACAACAGCATCGGTGCCGTGACCGATACTTATAATGACTTCTGGGTGCGCGCACGGCCTCCTGTGGAGGGTGGGGCTCGTCGAGTCTGCGTTGTGCCAACGCGCTGCGTGCCCACCGAGAGGGCTCGCGAATCAATCGATGGAACGCTGCAGCCGGGACGAAGCGGGGGTCTCACTCGCACGCCGCCACTGCGCTCGCGGTGCAAGGAAACCCCGCGCGGCGCGCACGACTCTCCGTGGGCCGAGAGCCGCGGTCTGAGTCGCAGTCACCTCGCCACCGTCAACACCTCGCCACCATCACTATGACAATGGCCACACCTCGCTACCGTCATCACCCACCATCACCACACCTCGCGACCGTCATTGCAACCACCATCACCACACCTCGCCACCGTCACCACCACCATCACTATGGCAATGGCCACACCTCGCTACCGTCAACAGCAACCATCACCACACCTCGCGACCGTCATTACAACCACCATCGCCACACCTCTGTACCATCACACCATGCCAGCACCCCGCTGCCTTTCACCGACCAAACCAAAATGCCAAGGGGCCGCATTTGGCGGTGGTGCACTAGCAACGATCTAAAACAATCATCACAACGCCGAAGACTGATATCGAGAGATGTATGCAGTACAAGCTAGCCTGACGATTCGGGTAATGACCCTCGTTTGGAGCAGCTGTTGCGAATACGTTGCCCGGCCGACACGGGGCGAGGTGGCCTTCATCCAACGGATTGAAAAGTTCGAGCAATTTTAAATGAACCCTGGGGGTCAGTCCTCTGTATCCCTTGACTCCCACGTCTTCTTCGGTGTCACCGTAGCTATTAAATGTCTCCCGGACGTCTCCCGCCGTTTCGACTCAATGTTTTTTTCGTTTCACGGAGAAAAAAAAATCCCGTGTAGCCAGTTACCCAGCTAGTTTTGGTGCCAACGCCACGCAGCCACGAACAGCGGAGCACTATGGAGTCATTGGTGGAGAGGAGCACATCCAGCCAGGAAACTCGAGGCATAAATTACGTCTTGTCATCATCACATGGGTTTGTGGACGTTCACGTCGACCGCGTACTGTCATCTGGCGACCCGGGTTCGACTCCCGCTCATGACCAACATCAGTGACACATCTTAACCAGGCACAGGGCCTCGCCTAGGTCGACTCAGCTTCCGATGAGTACCTGGTGCGGCGTGTAAACATCAGCGCTGCGAAGACAGCGGCGGCCCGGTGTGGTGGTGGCCCACCCCTCGTGTGCCGTGGCGTCTCTCATTGGCGCGACTCGCTAACCGCACTTGCCCCAACAGTCTGTTGAGGCTGTAATAGAGGGGATCCTTTGTCTTTGTACGCACGTTTGCGAGATTTCCTACGCACGTTCCTCCTCGACCGAAGCACTCGAGCAGCATGGGGGCTTCTTTAATGCCCTGGATTTGCCGGTTCGCATTGGCATTAGCACACAGCAGGCGCGCTACACTGCCAGTAATTAGCCTAACCTGTAAGCGTCATTAAGATACGGGAAAGAGGGTGAAATTAATTTCTAAGGACACATTCAAATAACAAAAAATACCATTAGCTTATATTTCTAATATTCAGTTTGGCTTTAAAATCCACAATAAGTTTAAATTTATAATTAAAATCACATTTTGAAAATGACAGCAGATGCTCGCCACGCAACGGTAGCGAGATGTTAACTACCTCGCCTGGTTTACAGGAGGTTGTGGGTTCGATCCCGACCCTGACGCCTCTATATTTGCAGTTTGCGTGTCTCTCTCCTCGTTGTCGCGTGGAATGTTTTTTCCTCCGGGCCCTCCGGCGTTTCTCTCCAATATTCAGTGTCAACGTCACGCGCTTAGAGCATTTGGCTGCTGTACATTTCCACATGCATTACCACTTCGTCGAGCCATCATTTGTGGTCAGGTCACTTCTGACAAAAGAGGTGGGCCTTATCTGGTAAAATAAAATAAAAAATGTTTGTCGTTCAGTTTAATTGTTGAATCGGCGAAGATTAAGGGACTGATGGGCGGGTTCACGCGGCGATTGTGAATCGGTGCGAGACTCACATGGCGCCGAACGCATTCCGATCTCTGCAATGATATTCCGGGCAACCTTGCGGGCGACATAAATGAAAACGAAAATACGGGGGGGGGGGGGGGAGGGACGGGGACTCGCTTCCAATCGAGAATTCGCCGGCCTACCGGCCTTCCCGGGTAACCTTCATCCTAGCCCGAGTCGACGCGTGCATCGCTCTGCTTTGAAGTGGGGACACAAGGCGGGGGGGGGGGGGGGCAGAGGGGAGCAAGGGGGGGGGGAGGGGGGGAGGGGGGGAGGACAGCTACCCTGTGACTAAATCACCCGGAATGCCCCCCATCTCGTCAGATCTCAGAAGCTCCAAGCAGGTTTGAGCCTGGACAATAATGTTTCGTTTTATATAACGGCGTCTTTCATGCAAATTCAATCTCACGATCGCCGAGGAGCCGTATGGACAAGCTGGAAGGCAGCCAAGCGGTGAGCCGGCACTAACAATTGCCCAAGATCTGCAGCCATCTACATATTAAGATGTTTCGTCCAATTAATTAGCCTTCTCATGGCTAGCAGACCTCCGCTTTGGCATTTAACTCCTCAATATATTGCCATTCGCAAGATGATAAGAATAAGCATTTATACATGCGGGAGGAGAACGGAGCACCCGGAAGAAACTCACGCGTGCGAGGGTGAAGCACTTTATCCCACGCGGAAGGGCCAGATTATACGAGTGGACAAAGAGCTGTTCCACTTTCTCATGTCAAGGAATGGCACCAGGTCGACGGCCACGGGAAGGCAATTTGATCGCATTTGTGCAATCCACCAAACCTCCACAGTGCTGGATCACAGGCCACGTGCATAGCAGGCTCCATGCTCAGGGAATAGGTTGCCGATATCGGTGAGCAGCGCAGCAAACTCCACGCATGATGCCGCCACGTGCTATACACAGAAGAAACGGCACGAATATATAACCCCCCTGTGGTTGCTGCGTGCAGACGGGACGCGTTTTAACGCCGAGCATCACTCGACATCACAGCGTCTCATCCCGGGACAGATTTGAAACATTTCCTTTTAACGAGTAAAATCCCATGAGGACGATGGCATCACGAAGCTGCCATGCCTCGCTGCTGAGGATGTCTCTGCTCGTCAGTGTCGGCCCATGACATTACCCCACCACGTGTACAGACGCACACCACCCCATCGCCACCACACCATCCCCACCACACCATCGCCACCACACCATCCCCACCACACCATCCCCACCACACCATCCCCACCACACCATCCCCACCACGTGTATCGGACCCATCACGCCGACCTTACCACGTGTACAGACGCACACCACACCATCCCCACCACGTGTATCGGAGCCATGACATCTACCCATCACGTGGACAGACGCACGTGCGCCAATGGTCTTCGTCACACGAGGCGTGAACGGGTCCGTGCTCAGACTGTGATCTCACGCGTGCGGGTTCTCGCAACTGAAATCGACCGCGAGTTGAGTTGAGACACGGAGCCCGCGCTCTGCGCGCCCCGGGATTCGAGCCACCGAGAGTCGCCGAGAGCCGCCGAGAGCCCTTGAGCGTCTCCGCGTTTGCTCAGAACTCGCGGCTCAATGTCACAACAATCGGGATTAGTCGCCGTGTTGTGAGCGGCACTCGTCGTGAGAGGGGCGCGTGTCGTCAGACTCCTGGCCACGGCGAAGCATCGGTGGCGAGTGATATTGGGAAGCGGCCACTGGTGGAGCCAGCGGGGGGGTTGGGGTGGGG